AGGAGAGGTGTTCCATCCCCCTGATCATTTTCGTGGCCCTCCTTTGGACCTGCTCCAACAGGTCCATGTCTTTCTTATGCTGAGGGCTCCAGAGCTGGACGCAGTGCTCCAGGTGGGGTCTCCCCAGAGCAGAGCAGAGTAGAGGGGCAGAATCACCTCCCTCAACCTGCTGGCCACGCTGCTTTTGATGTAGCCCGGGATACAGTTGGCCTTCTGGGCTGCGAGCACATACGCATTCTACATTACTGTTCTTCCTTCTTCCCCTCACTGTTATGTACTTGCTGTCCAAGTTTCTACTTTCCTATCTGTTTGGGGCTTTTAGCATGTGGCTGCTGCTTGTATGTTTGAGGGTATGTAAACTCTTCCCAACTTCTGATGCTGAACTGTTCAGCATGAGGTCATTGGGGGGCCATTAAGACTTGTCTTTGACAACAAAGTAAATTTCCTACTGTATCTTCTCTTGCTGTTGGAGGTAAATCCTTTGTCTCTTACTTTTTTTAAAAAAGAAATTGCTAGTATTAGAAGCACAAATGAGTGACCCTAATTAAAGGCAAACTCCTTTAGACTTTGAGGTTGTTTGTACAAGTGTATTTGTGCAAGTATGTCTCTGTCATACAAACATCAAAATATCCTAAGCCAAGCCCTGTGCTCACTGAGGTCTCATAGGCTAATAGAAACTTAAGCTTCCAACTTCAAGCTTTCCAGTTACTGCTTCTGGCCAGCCTTGTCTTTCAGTTTTGGCCACATTTCTTAAAAGGAACCTACGTAAGAATGCCACTGGCATGGCTAATAATGTAAAGATTAAACTATGAATATATGCAGTCTTCATATGACTGTCAAATGGTATGGTAATTATACAATATGCATAATTACTAACTTTCTGGGTCTTTATTATTCTGTAGTAATCTGACATAAACCTGAATCTTAAGAAATTACAACCAAATTTTGAACAACTATTTAAATATTCCTTTTGGTAACTTATGTATTTATGAATTTCTGTTAGAAGTCGGTAAGGATAACATAAGGCTCTAACAATGGCAACTTACTAGATTTTTGAGAGTGAACACCAGTGCTAGGTATCAAAACTGTACCTTTTTTCTCCAAAGTCTTCAACTTTGGAAATTTTCTCCACGAGGGGGAGGCGTGCTTACGGTTGATTGCTCTGTTAGCCTTAAAGGCGTTTCAGAGACTAGTTCTTGTTCTTGCACCCTTAATTTCTCTAACCATCTATAATTTTAAGTTTTAAACGGTCTCAGATGATCATTCTGAGTGTAGTAGCAGATAGATACAAGTAGTAGCATAGATACAAGTAGAATTTAGTTTAAATTGGGCAAATAATGTGTGCTGCCTTTTTTTTAAATGAAAAAAATTTTTTTGTAAGTTTCCAGTAGTATAGTCTATGTGCATTGATTTCAGCAGTTGCCATTCAGTGACAGTATATTCACAGTGAATGAACAGGTGCACAAATCTTTCAGGTGAGATCTCTTCTTCAAATTTTTTGAAGTGTCTAGGGGACTTTCTCATTGGTACCAGTCAGACAGTTAAAACCTCAAAATGAGACTATTTGGACATAGTCTTCATCCACACCACAGCGCAAACAGTATGTTCCATTGTAAACAATGGATCAGTGAAGAAAGGTTATTAATTTATTAGAATTAGAAGTGGCTACAGAAATTGTACCAAATAACTTACAAAAATACTTGTAATATTTCACCCAATTGAGAAGAACTGAAACTTCATCTCAAACTTACAATAATAATAATTTCAAATAGACAGTATGCTTTTTTTTTTTTTCTCTTGAGTGAATGATGTTTGTGTTTTAATTCCAGGTGCAGTTTTCCTGGTTATTTTTTGCAGGGGCAGTCCCTGTATTTTTTTCTTTCTTCATTGCAACTCTCTTATGTCACTATAACAACTGGGATCCAGTGATGGTGGGAATCAGAAGAATTTTTGCCTTTATTTGTAGAAAACATCGAATTCAGAGGTAGGGCAGTCACAAAGTATAATCCTGTCTCTTCTTCAGCCTTTCTAATATCCTATACTCTTTTATAAGCCACAGTACTTATACTGTATTTATTTTCATCTAATTTTATAGTCAGGTGTACTAATTTCTTAATAGTAGTAGTTGCCAGTCCATTTATTAACCTATGTAATGCTCAGAAAATGGAAAGATGTGAAGTCTGTTTACCTTCTTCTTTTAAAAGAAGTTTCCTAGTGGCTGTCACAGTTTTCCGTTTTTTTTTTTTTCCCCATAACGCCCCTATGATAGTTGCTGTACCCAGAACATGCAGTGAAAATTGTGCGAACTTGAGTATACTTCATGAAATTAAGGGGTCTTTGTATGTTTTTACTGGCTGCAGTTCAAACCACTAGCATACTTATGTTGACTTCATAACAACTCATTTAATATTACTGTATAACTGTAAATAAATAAATTTGTTTCTTTTAAGAATGCCGGAAGAAAGTGAGCAGTGTGAAAGTCTCATTCCTATGCACAGTGTTTCACAAGATGGAGACAGTTGTTGTTCATAGACAAAAGGTATGTTTAATAAACCTCAAATGATACAGAGAAAGGTGAGGATTGGTTCTCATAATGGCATTTGTGTTATGTAAGCACACGTTTTTACACAGCATACAGTTAATCTTGTTTATTGATGAATAGAGTTTTGAAGGGTATCTTCAAAATTATTATTATTTGTTACCAAGCATTATTCTCACCTTGATACAGTTCTTGGTCAATGGTTTTGAAATGTAAAGTAGTTTTTTTTTACTTAAGAGGATTACAATGTTCATAAAAAAATTGGACATGAGTCAATAAACCAGAAGAGGCATACAACTTCTTGGTATGGATGATGTGTATGGAAGAGATCTGAAGTAATTTATTCACTCTTTTTAATGCTGTTGAGGTCTCAGTTTGGGCTACTGCAGTGCATGAAAAACATCGACCATTTAAGGAAGTTTAGAGGACGTGACCAGACTTTATCATTATGGGTCTGGAAAATGGGAAGGAGTCCTTGTGTTTGTGGTTGACAAGAATTAAGTTGTTAAATTGCATTAAATATTAGGGAAAATATTTCTCATGATAAGGATAGGGAAACTAGAGTAGAATAGCTAGGGAGTTTGCAAAATATCCCTCTCTAAGAGAAAAGTTACGCAAACCTCTAACAGGAACATTATTACATGGTTTGTTGGTACTGTCTTGGAGCATAAAGATAGACATAGTTTAGGACTCTTTAGCCCTACGCTTCAGGGCTTTAGTTTTCAAATAACACATGCAGAATTACATGATGAGAAATATATTTTTATTTTCCAATGTTGCTTAAATCTAATAATGAAATTAAAAATATTCTAACCAAAACAGTAGTTGTGACGTCTTAAATCTAAAACACACAAGTTACTTCCTTTATTAATAAGATGGAAACAAATACATATGATGATTCCTTTTTTGTAATCTTTAATTACATAGCCCTGATAATTTTTTTTCTTTTTTTTTTTTCCTTAGTTTAAAAATGGAATGATGCCCAGCGAAGAGACAATCTTCTGGAAAAGTCCCTAAGGAATGATGTTTCAGTGCCTATTCTGAATTTAGTAAAAATAAGAAGTTTCAGTTCTTTTGAAACTCTAAACTTTTCCTCTTTCTTGCTTTCATCTGGTTTTATAAATGAACAAATTTACTACATACCTATCACCATAGGGAGTCTTAGTCCATCTGAGCAACCAACCTGCCTTATAACACTGAGCTGGTGAAGTTACTTCACAAAATCAAGAAAACAAATGCTGTTAAGTAATTTCTTTCTTTTTTTAACTCACAATTTTGTTAAATGCTGGACAAAATTTTAAAAAATACTTTCAAATGAGTTATGTAAATAAATTTGCAGGTCATCAAGTCTTACAGGCTTTCAGATGAAAAGCTAAATAGATGTTACCTGTAGTAGGTACAAATTAACTTTTTTATGTTGTATAAACTATTTGCATATTAATAGAAGAAAATAGAGAAATAATTTATTAAGTGCATTCTTGTAATTATTGAGGCAGGATCTTTGTACGGTCCTGGAACACTACATATATATTGTCTTATGCCATTTTGAGAAGCCTTGTAATGGCAATGGGTGCCGATGTTTAAAAATCTTTTGTTACCTAACAATCTGGAATGTTTAAAATCTTAGTGAATGGTAAAACATTTCTAATTACCGTACATTTGGATGTACATTCTCAAAATGAATGTTTGTTTTAAACAGACTGGTTCTGTAACCCATTCTTATTCCCAACTGTGTCACATGAAAAACTAAATTTGAAAATTTTCACGTGTATAGCTGCCAACTTACGAAAGAGATCAAATTAATTGTGAAAGTTTTCAGTTAATGGGTTGGCACTACAGTAGTCTGCTAAACAATCTGAAAGATAAAGGTGTTTGCATTGATCCCCCCCCCCCCCGGTGTCCTTTAAATAATATTAATAAATTTATATTAAAATTGATCATTTTCCTTATAACCTGTATCTTCCTTCCACTGCTGCGCTTCTGTCCTATTTGATTCTGAAAAGTTAGGAATAATTATATTCAGGAATATTTGAAATTAGTGCCATTTTTTAACTTCTGGCCTATAGGACACTTGCATTAAAGTTAATTTTGGCTTTTGATGGATTTTATTGTTTTTATAATGAATGTAGGATGGATTTTCAGCCAACAGTATTCTTTTCCACGTAACAAGATTATTAATAATGTAGGGTACTTCTGCTATCCTTCCACACAAATATAGAAGGATGACATAACACAAATGCCTTTTCACGTTTTGACACTCAGTAATGATCCTTCCAAAAGAAATTTTGGTGGTTTGGTGATACAACTACTAGACAAGAGAGGGAGTGCGGGAAAGCAACAAGCTTAGCTATATATTTAGAAGGATTGATTAGTCAGCAGCTAGAATTTAATGTAAAAATCTGTAAGTAGAGAACGAAAAAAAAAAAATGAACCTGGGGCCTATTCTGGTCAAATATTGCACCTTTATCAAAATTTTCCTTCCAATTTTTAATACTGGATTACACTACAAGTTTCAGTGATCTGAGGCATCTCTTTAAGATGAGATAGTAAGTCCTTCTTTGGACACCTGAAATAGGAATTAAAAAACCCCACCACCACCACACAACAAATCCACAAACCCAAAACAAACAAAAAAGTTTATTAAATTTATTTAGGCATTTTGAGAAACGTCAAATTTCAATTCCCAAACCCCACAAGTAGAGGGGTTGAAAATGCAGTATGTAGAAGTAATTTTACTTTGGTAGAATTTTCAGGGATTTTTTGGTAAGTGTAGTTTCCTTAGCTTTTTTTTTTAAGGATTTTTTTTTTTCTTCTAAACTATGACAAATTGGAGGATGTTAGCTTCAACTTTTTTCCAAGAAGTAATGTTAAGGCCTACTGGCAATAAAAAGCTAATGTCTGTTTTCAACTGATGATATGTTTCAATGAGATCATACCGAATATATCATACCAGGCATTAACTACAAATTTGAATGAGTTGGGACTTGTGGCATCAGCAAACTAAGCCTGGGAAAACTGAGTTTGCTTTCGGATAGGCAATTACGGTATTTTTAGCAAAATATTCTAACACTGTCTTTTGAAATTGGTCATACTGATAGAATTGGAGCTGTAACGTATAATGGGCAATTGCTGTTCATATTTGTCCTTACGTTCATGGCTTAAAGTGAACGATTGTCATAGTCTCCCATGTATATGACTTTTGTTAACTGGCATTATTCATTAGTTTGAGAGGTTAAAAAATAAGTACTAGGAGAATATTCTTCTGTCTCTGACCCCAGGAATGGTGAAGAATGTTTTTGTTCAGTAAACTCAAAGTTAGGGCCTTCCCACTGTTTTTGTTTTTAACAAAAATGTGTTAATTTTTTTTTAAGCTATTAAATATTTTAATCTCATGGCACTAGGTAGCTTGAGCAGTCTTTTTGCATTAAATTACAGTTCTTTAAAGAATAAGAAACAAAGCAAACTGTCCTTTCTGAAAGGATTTTTAAACAGTGGTGCCCCTGTAGTTACAAGAAATGCGTTACAGTTTTAATTACGGAAGCTATGACGTGTAACATTGTTCCTGCATTTAATAGAGTGTGATGAGGTTTTTTCTATAAAATCTTGTGATTTTTAGTACAATAATATTTTATAAATATGATGTCTAATTTGAGATGTAAATTGCGTAGCTCTCTAATGGGTGCTTGGTAAATGCACAAGAGATTTAGCTTTGATTCTCAGGTACCTCTGATGTAATGGAGACATGCTGGGTTTTTCTTCCTCATGACACAACTGGAATGTGAAGGAGCTCTCGTAAATGCTTTACCCTCTGTGTGCTAGCATAAATTGTCATTGCTCTTACTGTTTCAATTTGGGAATGTCTTTATTCTGACTTATTTCTTGTAGGAAGCACATACACTTTAAAGAAATAATGAATTTTTATCTCGAGCATTTCTTTGAATGTCATTAGATGCTTAAGGAACAGTGATTTCCCATGCATACAAAATGGAAAATGAATACTACATGTGTTGCTCTGTCAAACAGTTGAACTAATTCCTGTAATCCTGTGAGACAACCAACAATTTCTTCTGTGTGTGATTGAGGTTTTGGAGCTGTTTGGTTTTTATGTATGGAGCAAATGATGATCATTTGCCAAATGCCATGTAGCATGCCTTTGCTTTTATGGTTTTGGTGAGTCTCGCATAGTTTGATGTACTGTGTACTGCACTTCAGAACAAAGGGAAAAAAGGATTTCAGTTTTTCTGGCTACTTTCTCCTAGGTTTCAGTCATGGTGAAAATGTGTTCGCTATGAGGGGCTGCAGTAAGTGTAATACTAATTCAGCAAAGGACTGAAATACACGCAACATCAGTATTCAGCAATTACTTAGAAAGTACGGGGCACATGAATGCCCCTGAAGACACTGAGGGCCCGATGTTTCTGTTGCCCAGTGTGCGCTGCATCTTGCTTGTTGGCTTTTTGCCTGTGGAAATCCGTGTAGGGGGGTGGGGGCTGTAGTATGTGACTGATTTGGCTTGTCATGGAGTTGGGCTAGAGTGGACCGCACACCGAGACTCGGAAACAGGGAGGCCAAGGCACTGCCTGGTTGTCTCACTGTGGCGTTGCAAATGCTAAAGTATTTTGCGGAAATGCGGTGTTAAGCAGTGGTATTCTTCGAATGACAAACCATGGTGCTGCATGCGATACTTGACCTGGTATGCTGGTACATGCATTGCATACCTCCTTGTAATGTACTAGCAAAAATGGGAGAGCCTGCAAATTACTTTTCTTGGTGTGTGCTGTTGTAATTGTCATTCTCTTTCACGATCCCCATTGTGCCTAGGTACTGCTATTCACAAGTATGATTGCTTTAAATGAGGTGGTAAAACGAGTTCTTTGTAATTCTTGGTTCCATCTCTCTTTGTGTTGAATGTTGTCATTCCTATTCCCTACTAAAAGATCCTGCTATCTTAGGGAAATTAAGTTACTGAGCTAAACTAAGCTATCGGAGGAGGGGGAAAGCCAGTTAAGTTTTAGACATAGGGTGAGTTTCTGGACACACTTTCAAATTTTATATGAAAATAGGCCTCGGTAAGGCAGAGTGTTTGTATGTTGGCGTACTCAAAAATCAAGAAACAGAAACTAATGTTGATATCACAATGTTGAGTTATATGGCTAACTATAGGATGGTACTTTTAATCAGTTTTCTTTATTTGGGGTAAGTTTTGAGTTGGTTACCATTTCTGTTATGACTGTCTTATGTAGTGTCTGCAATTTAATAGTTATAACTGCAGCAGCATTTAAGTGTTGGTTCATAAACAGTTGTTACGCATGATTTTTTTTTTTTCTATCTAATCCAGAATTGCATTAATGCTGTATTTTGCTTTACATGGTTATGCAGGGCATGATTTCTCAGGGAAATACGGATGATACCATGCGTTGTGAGAGCTGATAACTAATTCCTGCTTTTAAAATTGTTACAAACATTTTCAGGTTTCACTCAAACACTTCACATCATGTAACTTTCATGTTGAACTTCCTTAGGCTTATCAGGTAAACCACGATGAGAATGTTAAGAGCGTTTAAAGGTGTCAATAAAATACGCTCTGGCTAACACTTCATTACTTTTTGGACAAACATCCATTCTAAACTGATGCTGCAAATTGTGTGTGGTTTTCCTACTTTATTGTACTATGTGCCATATAAACTAATAGTTGCACTGCTAATTTTGAAGCTGCACTTAGGGTATGACAGTGACATTAACTTTCAGGGTTAGGCAGTGCGATAATAATACATAATCTGATTCTGGGGTAGAGTACCAGTATAAACCTTCTAACATACATATATTCATTTATATCATTAAATTTTTACAAAGTCTGTTCACTTTGGGGATTTTTGTTTGTTTTTCCAGTAAAGTTACTTTGGCTAGGCTGGGATTTGATCCAAAGCCCACGAGAGTCATAGACAGCATTAATAAAGTAAAACTTTATTGAAAAGAAGCTCCACAGTCACGTTGAGCTTTATGCCTTTGCAGTATTTCTGTCTGCAGCGTACATTTGGAGTGGTTTGCTTTAAGACTTCAGTAATATAAACTTGAGGGATTTTAGTGCTGGTAAAAATGGTAAAGATACTACTGTAACTGGTCACAAAAAATATTTCCCTATAGCCAGCGTGCAGCTTCATTATTTAGAAGGTGAATTTGTCTTGCTACATGACTTTTCTTTAGAATCAGCAGTATAAGAAATGTTAACCACTTCACTTAGTTGTATACTTCTAGGAGAACTTTTTGTCGATAGTGGGGAATATGTGATCATAGTCATCTTAGCCTTGAGGATCAACTTCCTCTTGGTGATTTCTGATTTGACGTTTCCGTTTACATTCACTTTGCAAAGAATGCAATGGGGCATTTCCTCTCTAGGTAAAGCTACTGTAGTTGTATTTTGACTGCCCTAGTTCTCTACGTTGTTAGAAATCTAACACAAAACATAA